GGCATACTGGAGGAAAAATTGACAGGGGAACAGCGAGTAATCTACCTAACGAGTTCGTGCAGATTGACGGCAGAACAGGGATTGGAAGTGATCTTTTCTAAGGGTTACAGGGGATAGAAAGCTGTAGTCCTTACGTTCCCCTCTGTGATGTGTGAACGACTGTCGCCGATTGTATTCGACGGTTATTCTTAGATAACCGTGTATAAATAGTCTCCACGCGTGCAAAATGGAAGCAGGCGTGAGACCACGTTCTTATCTACACTGTGACTGAAACGGATCCACTCCTTGCTGCCCCAGGTCTCTTGATGTCTGATGTGGATAAGTCTATTGAAGGCTCACAGCATATCATCTTGCGGCCTCAGCCGAGATTTAACTCACTACACCTTTCCAGTATTCCTTATCTTCAATACTTTGATTGGTGTAGTTCATAATCTTGTCAAATAGCTGAATGCTTGATGCTTCGCTAGGGCTATCAAGGGTGTTTTTATCGTGACACCAACACTAAATGGATTGCCAACCAAGGCTCAGAGAGACTCCATTCACCCTCCTCTAAGAGCAGGTTTGAATTCAGAGTTTTCCTTCTCCTAGACCAGTTGCCATCCAAGGCTATAGAACCCATCTGTCCTGCTATTTTACCCATAGCTGGAGGGAAAGGAAGAGGATTCATACCTTTCCCAAGGGTATTAGCACGTAAGTGAATGTAATGGATTCGACTGGAATTCGATCTCGGCTCTGCGATTCCTCAATCCAAGCCGCTATCTATTACTCCACCGTGCCTCCTGATGAGGAAGACCTCGACTATGAATGAGTTAAGAGACTAATCTTAATGATAACTACATATGACAGAGATGTAACAAAGATCAGTGAAAATATCGGTCGATATGCTGCAATATATGTCAAATATATGTCCAAGTAATTAATAAAATAGTGATAGTATTTCATTTTACAGCTTCAGACACTATTAAGATCTCTGGATGAGACATCGACCAAACTATATTGATCCTAATAATAAAAGTTAATTTCCCAGTCTGTATAATAATAATAATAATTCTTCACTGTGAAATTATTATATATATATATTCGGACCTGTCTTCTCATCTTAATAGTTATTGTCACCATATGTCAACCGTTGTACAGCCCGAATGTATATCGATTGTTCATGACCCCCTCAGGAATTTAATAAAGCAGTGCGAGAACGCCGACAACTCTTTTAAATTATAAAAGGATTTGCATATGAAGGCTTCTGTTTGTATTTCTTTGAGAAATACAATATACAAGTCCGTTACATAATTTTACTAAAACTTGAATTATTTAATAATATTTCCTCTACAAAGCTCAGAAACGTTATATTATTAATAGTATAAACAAAAATGTTCCACTATATAAATAAATGCGAATGTCAGTGTGTCACACTTTTTAACTTTACTCTTAGAGAGGCCATAGCCCAAAATATCATACCATTTTGAAATTTTGAAATCAGACCTAATCCATAAGCAAAAATCAAAAACATCAACAGCCAGATCCGGACCGGCAATTCAGAAATTTTGGATTCCCAAGTTTTCATTACTTCCATTGTTTGCAGAGAATTGTTTTTTGGGGGATAGAAATTTTATAACTTGGAAATAAATTTGGGAATAATTGAAATTATATCACGAAATCCATTAAAAGTCAGCCTTGAAATAAAAATAATTGTTTGTACGGAAAGTAAGAACCTACACACATCAAATTGTCTTTAAATTAAGTGGCGGCAGAAGAATTATTGTTGACCTTTTAAACAGTAAGCTTAGATATCAAATGTAGCGATCCTCTTTTGAGTTCTTTTGTAGTTTATTGTTGCCTATCGAATACGACAACAATATGCCTGGCAAAAAGAAATCCCCGCCAAAAAGGACTCGATTGCAATTCAAAAAACCAAGGCTGCAGCGAGGAAAAAGAAGTCCGCGCAAATGAAAACCCAGATCAAGAGGCAACAAGGAGAGCTTCCAACGCTGAAATATGCAAAGACTTAGGGACTATCAAACTCCTGAACAAACTGAAAACCCAATCCATAACCCTCCGTAGAAGCAATAGGGCGGCTTCTACGCTAGTTTATAGTATATATTGTAAATGTTACACTATTAATAGTATAATTGTTTTAAAATTTGCACTTTTAATAATATAAATATACGTAATAAAACCTATTTTTTAATGTATATTTTATGAAGCTAGAAATTCTATTTAATTGTTTTATTTCGTTCTAAGGGAATAAACACTTAACACCAGGTGGATACTAGAAGAAAGGTTTTTGTACACAACAATTATAATATGAAATAAAGTACAGTTATACACACAGGTCAATCTAGTAGCGAGTGCCACTAACTGGAAGGTCGGAGGTGTTTGCGTCGTCTCGCTCCTCTCCCTCTCTGTCCCTCCTAGACGGTTGCCTTTATAGGTATTTACTACCTATAGTGTAATCATTGATAGGGGTGATTGGTTATTCCATTACATCACTATTAAATCAAAAAGCTTTGCGCCTCATCTGTTATTAGCAGATTTACTAACAATTAAAAAGAAATTCTCTAATTTCATTAGATTTGTTGATTCTTCTCTGTTTCTGTCGATGTTGCAAACAATCATGGAATTAAGAATATTTTTTTTAATCTAAGACTGACTTTTCGTGGTTACATAAATCTTGTTAGAGGTACATTGAAACTGACATTGCACGCAATTCATATCATCCATATTCATCAAGAAGCCGGAAACTTCAGGAGGTTGATTTAGAATGAATCTCGATAGCCAAGAGATAAACAGAATCTCAGGCCTGCTTCCGTTCTCCAGAGGGTGGGTAATATTTTGCGGTTATATTAAAAATCGCAGCAGACACTTGACGGCAGTCTCTCACACACTGTACACAGAATGTAAGGCCCACAACTTCCTATCCTTCGTAGTTCTTAGTCAAAATGTCCTCGTCTGATAATTCCTTTCTCCTCTATCAAGAATATTTAGCGATTAGAAATTAAGAATTTTACAGATTTGTTCGCTTACAAATGACACCAAATTTAGCTCTCCTGAAATTACAGGTTTTTAGATAGTTTTGGAACTTTGATTTAGTTGATCATATAATGGTTGTTAACTAGGTGCATTACAATACAGTGCTACCAGACAACGGACACATATAGGCGCTGCTAGAATGTAAGCGGGTGAAACTTGCGGGTGCATTTGAGCGCTACTATCCTTAAAGGGTTTAACTATCTCTTGACTAATAGCTTAGCAAACTATTACTTTTTAGAGAATTGTATTTCTACTCTGACTTCCTCATTTTCACCTTTGCGGTCAGATACTGGAAAAACAAAGGAAGTCGATTGTGATTAGCTAAAACTAGCGTGGGAATGTTAGATATAGAAAGTGATTTCAGGGAGTTAAGTTTTACACATCGAAGAATGTAGACGTGCTATTTCTTGTCTAGAAACTTGCTCCCCAGTGGGGGTAAGATAGCAACCTCACTGGCCACTTAGAAAATGTGCACTTCCACGTGTTGGGTAAATTAGTAAGTTTTAAAATGCCGTTTGAAGTTCTCTTTTTAATTCCGAACCAAAAACATTTTCCCCAGAAGACGAGCGAAAGAAAATACATCAATGTGAGCGAATCGAACCCTTCCCCAAGAGCTTCTCCACAACGAGATGAAACATATCAAAATATTAACAAAATCATAGATTCTTTGTTATCAACTATTGATTAGATGGTTTTCGGAATTACTTTGTTTTGAAATGTGTCCATTGTAATAACAGCTAGTTCTTCTAACACGAGTTATTTTTAGTTCATATCGAAATTGAAGCAACATTGTAATTGTCTCTTCAGAGATTTCTTCGTTATTTTTTATCTGCTCGAGGGGATTTTTTGGTTGGTTGCATCTGGTAAAGAATAGTAAGGCTTTAGATATAAGAGCTTAAGCTTCAATTCGTATTTCTTTTGTTTCGTTTGTTTTTGTTCTGCTGTCTACGGATAGCTTCTGGCGTAGTTATCCTGCAAGGTACCTCATATCATGTGCGTGCAAAGATGTCATGACTACGTCCGTCGAGGTTTACTGGGAAAGAAAGAGTTTTCTCCGGAGATGAGAGCGTCCGTTTTCGATTAAATCAATGATACTGATGTCGAATCTACACTAAGAATTGTTATTTCAAGCCAGAACTTTGCATGACGTATACTGAGGAGACCTTGTCATATGTTAATTAACCCGATCGACAATCCTCCCCACCAGAACAAATGTATTCTAAACCTATAAGACTGTACAAGACGGAATCGTGTAAACCAATGCTGACTATATATATATCTATATTTCTGAGATGAGGTGTTATGTACAATATTTACATTATTCGAACTATTGTCCTCATCTTGCCATATTTATCACAACGTTTTGGCCGTTGTATGCTCCGGCCTTCTTCAGGTGGTTGCAATGTTGAACTGAACCGTTTATTCCGCTCGCTGGGTAGATTGTTCTACTTCCACGTGCCATGTCTAATGGGTGCCAGTTATCAGTTATCTCCTGTTAATTCCCCTCTCCAAGTTCTCCACTGCCTTAACCGGGTATTGGGATCTGGATCTAACTACCGCCTTTATCTAAAGATCTAACTCTTTGTTACTGGATCTAACTAACGCCTTTATCCACTGTGACATGTGCCCTTGATAGAGGGAAAACGAGGGGGGACAAAGATGAGGACAATAGTCCGAATAATGCCAATGCCGACTACAGTTACGGTCCATGCGTGATATACGCTTAGGCGATCATGTATTTATTCAATACATGACTGACGAGGCAGGTTTTTTTTCCGCAGTAGGTTTCTATTTCTTTCTACACCGTAGACCAGTTAACATCGAAGGCTGTAGATCCAGGTTTGCCCTGCTATTTACCCATAGTTGGAGGGGAGGAAAACGGGATTCATAACTTTCCCAAGAGTGTTAGCTCACAAATATTGACTATATGTTGTACTATTTACTAATATATACTATTTACTTTAGGTCTACAACTATATCACGTTGAAACACCAGTTCTGGTACGATTACCGAAGTTAAGCAATGTCACGCTTGGTCAGTATTTTGATGGGTGACAGTTTGGGAATATCAGGTGCTATAAGCTTGGATGTGCGGTTGTCTTGGAATTGTTAATCTATTATACCATAATACCTATTCTATTGTAATAGACTCTCCTACAGATAATATGTAGTAGTATTAGTGGGGTCGTCAGTTGAGCTCAGTGGTGTTGAGTGAGTCAGTCGATGTCGGACATTGAAGTATCAACCATCACAACTAGATTGCTGCGTCATTAACTCTTATTTCAAGTTCCTAACGTTTTGTACGTCGAACCTAATTTAGGACGACTTATTGAAATACAAGCCTCCACTGTGAAAACTACTCTGCAACATAATCAGACAGCCGAATTTCTAATTCCTTATGGATTTGTTATTTCACTTAAACACAAATATCCTTGAAATAGGTATTTACCCACCTCTTCTTCCATCCTGCTGTGGTTTAATTAGTACAGATGCGGAATCAGTGTACTTAGATCATCATCGTTTAAGGCGGGTACGTTTAAATACCCAAGTACCATGGAGGCTTAATAATAGATTTTTATTCGTTTTCTCCGGGTTATCGGCACTTTACAGTTTATTCAAAGGCAGAAAATATTTTTGCACTGTAATTTTTTTTTTTTTTTTTTTTTTTGATGACAATGATTTAGTGATACAAGTCTTACTAATTAACCCATATCTGGGGAAAAGTGGTAGATTCATAACTTTCCCAGGAATATTTGCGTGAAATTGAATATAATGAATTCAAATGGATTTGGAACTCGGCTCCCTGATTAACAATTAAGTCATTATCACCACCCGCACTTGGTTTTTTTTTAAAGTGTTCACAGATCTTGCTATTGACCAGTCTCTGTGGTGCTTAACTTCTCTGATCGTACTGGAACCGATGATTCAACTTGATATAGCTTAAGCTTTAATAATTGGTAGTGTCGGAAAATCAATTAAAGGTTTTAAAAGTGTGAAATTAACCGGTTGCCCTGAATGAGGTCGTATAGATCAGATAACTCTTTAAATTCAGGGACTTTACACAGTATTCATGTTATGAACAGACCCCTCCCCTTGTAAATCGATAGAAAATATCAATGTTTTTCGATTCTTACATATGTCGACGTTTGGGAAAAATGACATGTAGGCTAATCTACAAAAAGTTACTTCCTTTTTTCTTTTATTTTCTTACAAGTGAAATTCTAAAGTAATATATTTTTGAATTTATTAATCCTACAGATTTTATCACTTTAAACCTTATTTTTAGTGAATACTCACATTAAAGGCAATATTAAGCCCTTCTCGATTGGAAAAAAAAAAGTTATTCGTGGACGAGTCAATTATAATAGTCTGATCTATGAGAGTTCCATCTGCCCAAGGAGACGTAGGTTCGAATCCTGCCGGAGAGCGCATATTTTCTTGACTATTCAGGCCGAAAAACGGAATTGAATAAATATACTGTTTAATAAATGGCCGTAGTATCTATTCAAATGTAAGTATCCACTAAAAATAGCGTTTAAATTGATACAAGTGAACCAGTCTATTCAAGTCGTGCTCATCTTGAAATAAGTTATTTTTATCTATAAGTTAATATTGGTCATTTATTTTTTACTTGTTTCTGTAGATATTAGCTTGAATCTTAAATTATTTCCGCTTTGGGGAACCAATTGTCATTGCATCATGCAAGCTACAAATCATACCTGTCAGTTAAGAATGCATTGAGAGAACACTAACATACATTAATTGTTGGTTAGCAGTTGCAACACAGTGGATTGAAGAAGCTTCGTTCTCCCATAAGACAATGCAAGGCTACACCCAGTTAGAACAACACAACAAACATCTCGGAGTCCTTGGGTCTGTTCTACACCATGCCACATATCCACCTGACCTTGCACTACCTGGTTAATACTTTTTTCGATCTTGGTAGATGGGACGTCTTAACACTCGGTAGGGATTCATTAAATATATTCTAGGCTCCGCTGACACGCTACGGGTTTAAAATGTATTCCATGGATTATTTTAGGCATTGGCAAAGAAATACATCGTCTCTGCTCAAGGTCTCAATCTTGACAACACTGCAGTTTTCTTTCAGCATTTTTTTTTCATCCTTCATAAATATCGTATTTCTGTGAGTCCATAACTATGCATAGACACGCGCTTGTTTTTACATATTTGCTTACTTTTGTACATTCGACCTTTTTTTTTTTTTTTTTTTTTTTTTTTGGCCGCTTTTAACCCAAGTTTTTTTTTATGTTTTTTTGTGGATATTGATTTTTTTGTAAACATCTATTTCGGAGCAGGGATTTTTTTCCCGTTATGTAAATATATTTAAAATTAAGACAAACTATTGTGTGTTATTTATCCATTTCTTCTCGGTATATAGACGGGCAGGTAGCGTAATGGCCAGCGGCTTGGAATGACAAATCTACCAGCCGATTTCGTTACACTGAATTGCACACAAATAACCTTGAGAGAGGAATGAATCCATTTATTATGTTCCGATCCATCTCTACGTAAATTAGTGGTTCTCAAACATGAATCACTTTTAAACTTGTTTAATGGACCCCCAGCCATAACTATTCGATGAAAAAAAGACTTTTTACTTATTATTTACTAGTAGATAAGTTGAGGAATTGTATTATCGAAATAGTAAATGTATATGCTTTATTTTGAGGTAGAACTAATTTAATGAAAATAAACTTCCATTTAACAACTAAATTCTATGGAACATTTATGTACACTAGTAAAATAACTCATAATAACCCATTTTAAAATATATGAGTGACTAATAAATTAAAAAAGTGAGGATTTATTCAATGAGATCCCGATGAATGATACTGCTCTGCGAGTTCGTTTTTTTTTTTAATATATATCTTTGTCTCCATCAATGTCTCATGATAACCAAAGATCACTCTTTTTTCACTATGCCCAGTCTAATAGTGCATAAATTCATATTAATATTTTATTTTATCAATATTTAAAATCAATATTATTATTTATTTTTAATATATTTAATTAATTTATATAATAAATTATAATTCTTCCTTTATGTATCCTTCCGGTTTTTATTCAAATTTTTCCAACCGAAACATCCGGTGGAATAAAATGGACGATAATTTACATCGCTTGATCTCGTTTTCTGCTAGTTTTACAGATATTTTTTCTATTTTTCGTATTTTAATATGTCGTAGATTACTGTAGAAATTCCAATTCTCAGTTGTAACAAGTGAAATTGCTCTATGTAACACAAAATATTACTGTGCACCCTGATTTGCTCCATTTTATAAATTTGTTTGTCTGGAACCCCAGTAATGTTAATCTCTGGGTCTAACTTTCTGCTCAGCATAGTTGTACAATCAACCACTTTTTGGCTTTGTGGGTTTGTTGAAGAACCTCAAATGGGCCCGAACAGGCTCAATAACGTGTGGCCATGTTGAAGATGTGAAAACAGACGGATTTATAGTGTCTTCAAGTCGAAAAAACACTTCCCTTTAATCATGAAACAACCTTCTTGTAATTACTATCAATAATTCCATAGCTAATGTTCAGTCCAGATATTTTCTTTAGATCCACATCATTTCTTATTATCAATAAGACTTACGATCTCTAGGCCAGTGGATCTAAATTTCAGAAAACCCCAACACGCAAACTCTCGGAATAAAATGCCCAAGTTTCGACAAAAGATCGGGACAATTTTCAGAGAGGCCCGTATATAGACATGCCATGATTTTCCGCTGCTATGAAGAAAAACCTGGATGTAACTAAACATATTAGCACGCATCTCAGAGCCTCTTTTGAGTCTATACTAACACGCGTTCGCCAAAAGGTCGTACAAGGCCAAGATTACGGGGCACCTAATGAGGATCAAACTCACTACTCAGTCGTAATTGATTGACCGAGATGAGCTTGCAAACCATTATTACGCGTAGCTTAGATGTGGTCAAGGCTGAGATTAAAGAGCATCCAGTGAGATTCAGTCATAATTAATCTAGAGAGACCAGCTTATTAACCATTACACCACGTCTAAGTGTCCTTCCTTCGTAGTTATAAAGGGAATACATTTCCCATTCTTATTGGGAGGAACATTTTCTTATAGAACATAAGACTTTCGATGTCTAGGCCATTAGATAATAATTTCACTGTTTACAAAAAACAGCATACATGTCAAATCAAATACATATACGCAAAAAATATTACGCTTATAGTAATACAAAAACTATGCATTTCTTTGCTACATGAAATTGCATGTTTCTTTCGCAAATTTTATCAGTGTATTTTTTTCAGGTGAGGGTGGCGGTTGACATTCAATCAAAATTCAAAATAATACATGTCAAATGGCAGATGAACCCACTTTTAGGTTTTAACGGCCATCTAGAACAACGGTTAGACTGGGAACTATATCTATGTATGCAACTATTACAGTAATGACAGGGCATCGTTAAACTGAGAGGGCTTCCTAGGCGGAAATCAACAACGAAAGAGAAGGATTCTTCCGATTGAGTCACTTAAGTTGAACGATATTGGCTATCATTTGACCTGCAGAGGGAATTATAAGTATTAAGAAATGAGAAAATATGTACTGCTATGTGATATAAATCTTCCTCTATGATTACTGGACAATAAATGAACAAAAAAATTGAAACGATAGTAATTTGGTTCTATAGGTGAATGCTAAGAATACAATGGATGGGACATTTAAATGAACAGGAAGTTTAAATAAAAAAAGGAATAATTAGGACACTTTCAGTCAATAAAAACAGCTGAGATTTAAGAAACATGTAATTAGGAAAGAAGACCTAGAGAATTTAATACTCACAAAAACAACTGGAAAACATCCCGTACTATACCTAAACTGATTATGTGAATGGCTGGCAGAACGTAAAGAAGGGTGGTAACGAGTAAAATATTTCTACAAGAAATAGAAAGCAGTGGAGAGCCATAATCTTCATCTGGCGACATAGTGTATGGCAAATAGAAGACACTTAAAGTAAAAATTAATTTACTTCCTTTTAATATCAGTATATGTCTATATTTCTGAGATGAGGTATTATGTACACTATT